CTTTCACACCTGCACAGTGTCGAATGATTTTGATTGACAGTACAAGCACGTGGACTTCGTGTGAACTTGAAGCAGGAAAATAAAAACGAGTATGACTGTCAAACAAATGGATATGATTTGTTGATAAAAAAAAAAGTTACTTTCACTGTCTGATATATTTTAAAAAAAAAATTCAGAGTTTTTGTTTGATATAGGTACAAACATTTAGTGAAGCCTGAAATGGGGGGGGGGCTAAAACGGAATCTCTCTGTCTTTCTCTCTCTCTCTCTCTCTCTCTCTCTCTCTCTCTCTCTCTCTCTCTCTCTCATTTGTCTTTTTAATAAAAACAATAACAGCATATTACTTGAATATCAAGTTCTGAAAATTGAATTTATAACAAATGATATGAATATGTATCTTTGTATTATCTTGTCCGAGTATAATCACGGCCATCTACAGATAAATGTAGAAGTCTGCTCAATAAACATGGCCGTTGGAACCGGGGGGGGGGGGGCAAGGGGGGCCGTGCCCCCTCCCCAATAATTTGCCGATATATAGATTATTATAGTAAACATAGACTATATGCTTGTGCCCCCCACAATAAAAAGTCTGATGACCTTTTTTTTTTTTTTTTTTTTTTTTTTTTTTTTTTTTTTTTGCTTGTCAGGAAATTTTTGGTAGTGCCCCCTCAACTATCAACTGAAAATGTATGGCTGTGCCCCCCCCCCCCCCCAAAAAAAAAAAAAAAACGAATTTGCTTCCTACGGGCCTGAATAAATCATTTTGAAAAATAGAAATGACACATAATATATTATTGTATTAAAAATTTAAAATACGAGCGTATAGATGCAAAACGTCCAATGACCTGTTATTATTTTTTTTTTTTCATTACTTTACACGAAATCGCTTTAACACGGAGATATATGAATGGATGTTACAACCACTTTAATTCATTCTATAAGTCAGAAGTTTTCTCTGATTTGTTATCAAATAAGAATAAACATTTTTATTTTCGAACTAAAAAAAAAATATCTCTTATACTTCAGCGTTCGGCAACAATTGCAATGTTTTAATGCGATAAAAATCGTGTGATTAAAAACTTAATGTGCATGCATCGTCTTTCTCAGGACAATTTTGGAGAATTTATTTTATTGACTCATTTATTCATTCATTTATTGGTTTACTTATTTATTATTGATTGATTGATTTTTTTTTTTTTTGGCACCTGACATTATAAAACAATAAAATAGTTTCAATGCAAGGAAAAGATCAGAGGCATTCCGAATATATCGTTCATCTTGCGTTCACCGTTCGTTCACCGTTCACTTTGCGTTCGCGTTTGCGCTCCGTTCGCGTTCTGCGTTCGCTCACCGTTCACCGTTCACACATCGTTCACCAAGTTGCGTTCAGCGTTCACATATCGTTCACTCACCGTTCGCTCTGCGTTCGCTCAGCGTTCGTTCACCGTTCGTTTAGCGTTCGCTCACCGTTCAGGTGGGAAAGTAGAACGTTTCAGGGACTGTGCGAGGACTGTCCGCTAAAATTGTTGACATAAATTTATTTAAAAAAAAAAAAAAAAAAACAAATGATGCACCCACTAAGTTGAAAATTTCAAAAAAATAATGTCTATTTGTCATATTTAAGTACTTTTTTAAAAATAAGATATAGATAAAATAGATTTTTTTTACTAGTATTTGAATGTGAACAGGGTATAGGCTACGGAGCACGATCACAAAATCTGAGAATACGCCATTTTTTTTTTTTCAAAATAAATGTATGAATTAGAAAAGATTGGGGTAAACATTATCATATTTACTATCAAATAAAGGTTTAAGTTTTTAAAAAGTGGATAAAACTCAAAGGTCAAGGTCAAAAAGAGTTATTTCCATGGAAAGGTCTAGTCACAATGAAAACATTTGTGACGAATGAAAATCCTAGCTCCAACTGTTAAAAAGTTACGGCCAAGGTTAAAGTTAAGTAAATTTTTGCAGAAGTGGTTCAAAACCAAGGTCAAGTTCGTGAGGTCAAATATGTTGGCACCGAAGAAAGACATTGTCACAAGGAATACACATTTGAAATATGAAAGCCATAGCCCCAACCAATCAAAAGCAATGGGCAACGTTAGAGTTCTGCGAACAAACAGACAGGCAGACGGACGGAGGGAAAAAGCTATATAACCCCAAATCTTCCATAACGAGGGCATTTAAAATCTCAGAAGACTTGGTCCGTTGTTGCTTAAGATTGGTTCCTTTGCTTTTTATGTAGGAATATAAAAGGGGAATTCGAGTTTGTGCATCAGTAAATTTCCCAAATTTAAGTAGGGTTTATCCAATTTATTATGCCCCGGAGATTCGGGGTACATATTTTTTGCTCTGTCCGTTCGTCTGTTTGTTTGTTTGTCTGCAAAAGCATTAACATTGTTCATTACTTTTGATTAGTAGTTGGATTTACGGATTTGTATTAAACATGTGCACTCCTTGTGAAAAGACCTTTCTTGGTACCAACATATTTGACCTCTTGACCATCGAGATTGAACCACTTTTGCAATAATTAACCAAACTTTAACCTTGGTCATATCTTTTGAAGAGTTGGTGATAGGGCTTTCATACATCACGAGTGTATTCACTGTGACTAGGCCTTTCCATGGATATAAATACCTTTGGACCTTCTGACCTTGACCATGAAGTTTTACTTTACATATAACTCAAACCTTGGTTATTATTACTTTTCACCTTGACTTTGGTGTTAAAGTTACATTTGAGAAAATTTAACCTTCGCCACATCTTGTTTTGTTTTAGTAAGGATGAAATGGGACGTTGGTTTTGACACCTTGACGTTATTATAAGGCGGGTACAACACAAAATTTAAAATCACATATTTTGTATGGATTTTTAGCATATATCTATTCTTATCTGAAAATTTTCGAAATTGTTGAGTTAATTTTCTCTCCAAAGAACTTGTACACGATTTTATCGGTCAGCCGTCTTAAAGCACTGCTTTAGGGTATATATATATAAATGTGAACTTGTTTGTTTATCTTGGATTTTATTTTAATATATATATATATATATATATATATATATATATATATATATATATATATATATATATATATATATATATATATATATATATATATATATATATATATATATATATATAATTTATAGATGTGTTAATCAGTAAGGAAAACAACAAAATTTCTACAGATATATTTTAAAAAAATACTGACATCAGTATTTGCATTTTGGTTCTTCTCACCCACGACACATTAAAAGAGCAATACCGTACAACCTAGCTGGAAGAATATGCACAATAATCAGTGAGGAAGAAACCAAAAATCAACGTCTGGAGGAATTGAAAATATACCAACATTATCCTTTAAACTTAATTAACGACGGCATCAAGACATCAAAGGAACTAGAGAGGCAAGAATTAATTATCCAAACTGCTAAGGATGTGGAGGAAATTAAAATATTACCACTAGTCACAACTTACAACCCTTACAACCAAAATATTACTCCTATCGTTCAAAATCTCAATGATATCCTCAAAAGAGATGAAAAAATGTCTAGTGTTTTATCAAATTTTAAATTTATAAACAGCAAAAGGCAGCCAGAAAACCTCAGGAGAATGCTCTGTCCTTCCAAAATACGGAAATCTACGAAATCCGTTACAAGGTGTAAGAACCCGCGATGTGGCACATGTCCTTTTTCAAGACAAAGAACGTCATTTAATTTCAGAGGAAAATATTTTTTTTTATTAATTCGGACATGACATGTGAGTCCAAAAATTTAATATATGTTATTACTTGCGGAGGATGTAACCAATTCTACATCGGTGAAACGGTTACTACTTTGAGAGCCAGAATCCGGGTGAATAAACAACACATTCAAGTCCCCGAGTACCGCAAGATTAAACTCAGCGAAAATATAGATATATGCGGACACGGACAATCTAAAATATTTCCCTTTTATAATATTTTTAGAGACAATATAATTGAAAGAAGAGAAAAAGAAAAAAAAATTTCATTCAAAAATTTAAACCCAGTCTTAACAGTCTGATTTAATTTGATTTCTGAAAAAAACTTTCACACAGAGTATAACCTTCCCATGTTCTCCAATAAGTAATAGAAACACTTGTATGTTTGATTTGGTTTCAGAGGCGTGAACATACTGCAAGCATTGTATAGCTAGCTGTCAGATTCAATTATAGATAATGATTTTTAAAGTATTAATAGTTTTGTTAGATATAACAGACACGAAAACGTTATTATGTATTTGTAAAACGTCTGAAGATGATAATGAAAGCGCTAACGTTTTAACCTATGTTGCCTTTCTTGATATATATATATATATATATATATATATATATATATATATATATATATATATATATATATATATATATATATATATATATATATATATATATGTATATATATATATATATATATATTTAATTAATTTTATCTGCTCAAGCAGTGTGGTGTTATTTAATCTGGTGATGGTGAAACAGGAGACAGTACTTGCAAATAAATAGAATTACATTTTGAGTTCTTGTTGATTACTAGACTAATGAAATATATGGAGACAAGGAACACTATTCAAGCTCAAAAGTCCATTAAACATTTCAAAATGGGAGCAGAGCAAACACGGAACTCTAAAACATCAGAGGTGGGATCTGGTTCCATTAACAATTTTGTTAAATCTCTGATCTTCACATCTGTCTTGTTTTATTGAAACATATTTCAAGCATCATTTTATTTTTATTTTTCAAATATACATATATGGTCGCGTTCCTTTACAGGGTTGCATTATACTCAGGTGACCATTGGCCCTTAGGCCTCTTGATTATCGACACACGGATTTGCAAGAATTTACAAGATGAAATTTAATTTTAAAAATCAATAAGAAATCTAAGTTGATTAAATATGTCTGTTTTAAGCTGAGTACGTACCAGGATTGGAAGGTACATGTACTTTAAATGAGCTACCAAAACATCAAAAGCTATCGATTTCATTAATTGGTTTTGAAATTAGTAGAGCTGACATTACGCTTTCCAAGAGATTGCAAGTTCTTCTGTTGTACGATATTTATGAAGGTACATTTATATTAATGATACAATTTTTTCACTTATTATTTTTTTAAATTTGATTTTCATATAAAATGTCAATGTAAATACCTCATGATACTGGCCATGATAATTGAGTTTTAATTATTCAAATAATAAACGATAATTATCATTTACTTTGTTTCAGATTGACATATATGAAAAAAGTAAAGGTTTTTTTTTTTTTTTTTATTGTGATCAATTTTACAGGGTATCTACAAACAGCGAAAAAATATTCTGTGTTCATTTATAAGTTGACAAAAGATTATACGGTGAAACCTAAGAATGCATTCCCTTCTTACAATGCAGCAGATGATGCAGTAAGAGAAGCAATCAACCTTTGCAAATTCTCAAACGAAAATATTTTGGAAATATTTGGTATGTACAGTACAACAAGCCCTCTCGTAAGGGTCACAGAATTTGTGACGTGCACTCTGCTTCAGCATTTGAGGAAAGGTAGTGCCAAATTATCGGTTCAAGAGATAAATGACATGGTAATAAATGTAAGTATACCAAGGAAATATATTAATAATGTTACTAATAGGCTTTTCCATCAACTACGTCTGCTTGTAACGAGTAATTTTTTGCGAAACTTTCTTGCTATCACTGCTAGAATTTTTTTTCTCTCAACATAACCCTTATGCAAGTTAGGTAATACATGTTATCCATTTGTTTGATGATCCACTCATTTTGAATCTAAACGAAACCATGACATGTCATTTATGAATAAAAACCTTTAAATTTTAAAAGCGAGGAAATTCCATTAAGAAAAGGTTCGTAAAATTTTAAAGTTAGTGCATATATCCAAGAAAAAAAAAAAGAACGATGTAAATTTCATTCATGATGTCTTTTAATGTTGCAATTGGTTTCACCAATCTAATTTGCTAACCTTAATTGAAAAAAAAAATAAATATATCGTCGGAGGCCCTAAATTCCTTATGGTCCTAGAGTCGTGTCCCTTTTATTTTCCTCGCCTATCTCGCGAGATTTTGTCTGCGGTTGCGCACACCGTGAGAAAAATTTTACTACGATCGATTATGTCATATTTACAACTGCAGATGACAATGAGGTCAAAACAGGTTAAAAAAAATATAGTATGAAACAAAATTTTAGCTGATTTTCTGTCAAATCCATTATTACTAAATAAGTATGACAATAACGTCCAATTTTTTTTTTTTTAAATGACGACCTATACTGTAAAGGGGATTAATTTCACGGGTTGTAATTTTCACGTTTTTCTCTGACATGATCGCGGTTTGTTGAATTCGCGGGTAGATTTAATAATTAATTGATGATTAATTAAAACAAGTGCAATCATTAAAAGTCCTTGACTATAAATGTCGAACGACTTTCCTATATGCTATTACGATGAGTGCATGTACACTCCAAGATCTACTTCTCGAAGGGATAATGCATCGCGGCGAAAACCACTGGACGGTAATAAATGTGTTAATGTAGGTCGACGAAATAATATCCTTTCACGTCTTAAGCAAGTTTGATAGTTATTTGAATGATTTTTCTTAACCAAAATGTCGATAAAAAGTAATACGCATGATAATACAGATAACAAATACACGTGGTAACATTAGTTACGCACTGGTAATCAAAACCAGTGACCTACGTGATTTGATTGATGCAACATGTAGAGTTGGCTATTAAAACAGTTTTTTAACAAAAACAGGTTATTATCTGCTGATTTAAATTTAAGTAAAGCGTGATATTTAAAATAATTGAATGACAAGTACTACTCGTAATTACTGAAATGACCAAGTACTGCACGTATATATACCTATCATAGTCTGTTCTCAAATTTTCAAATAAAACATGGAGGTCATTGAAAACTTATTCACTGTTTCCTGAATTCACGGATTTATTTACACCGTGAATATAGCGAATATTAACACCGCGAGTTATTTTTCCCCTATACAGCATTGAGTGTATAAGGACTACTGTACGCTTTGTTTACATTATATCAACAGAAGTCACATGACTACATTGGACTTTGATAGGCCAAACAAAGTTATTTTTTCCATTCAAGTTGAATTGTTCCTTAGACATTTTTTGATGATGGATTTGTTTGTTTGCTATTGTAGAAAAGTCACAAGCCGTACAAAAGAAATAATAGACTTTATTCTCCCAACACAAATGACAAATGCATATAAAATGGTTAAAGAAAAAAAAAATGTCAGTTAGAAAAGCTTCAAAAAATTTTCGGGTGCCCGATATAGCACTTAGGGACAGGGTTCTGCTAAAAGTTGACCCAGAAACTGCTGTTTTTGGTAAAACTCCAGTTCTAGACAACCTTGAAGAGGCCAATCTAATCATTCATTTTAAAACGATGGCAGTCTTTGGTTATGGGTATACCAGACAGGAATGCATAAATATTGCAACAGATAACGCAATTTTGTGGGTAAGAGGACCCCTGACAAGCCAATTTTAGGTCACCTGAGTCACTCAGGTGACCTATTGCTATCCGTTCTCGTCCGTCGGCGTGCGTCGTGCGTCGTGCGCTAACATTTGAACATTTTTAGCTTCTTCTCTGAAACCGCTTAATTAATTTCAACCAAATTTGGCATATAGCATCTATGGGTAAAGGGGAGCAAAAATTGTGAATTTCATGGTCCCTGCCCCCCTGGGGCCTGAGGGGTGGGGCTAAAACCACCAAAAATAATGCAATCTTTAAAAATCTTCTTTACTCCTGGAAATCAAGCAGTCAAACTGTTGGCATCATTGTAATAAGCATTGAACCCTCTACCAAAATTATGAAATTCATGGCCCCAGGGTCAGGGGTTCTGGCCCCAGGGTGGGGCTATATAGATCATATAGTGAAAGTGCATTATTTCTTTGAAAATCTTCTTCTCTGCTCCTGGGTATTAAATAAGGTAACTAAGTACATAGTTATGATGAGCAAGAGTGCCTCTTCCAAAATTGTGAAATTCATGGCCCCAGGGTCAGGGGTTCTGGTGTAAGGGCGGGGCTCTATTGATTATATAGTGAAAATGCATTAATTCTTTGAAAATCTTCTTCTCTGCTCCTGGGTATTAAATAAAGTAACTAAGTACATATTTATGATGAGGAAGATTGCCTCTTCCAAAATTGTGAAATTCATGGCCCCAGGGTCAGGGGTTCTGGCCCCAGGGTGGGGCTATATAGATCATATAGTGAAAGTGCATTATTTCTTTGAAAATCTTCTTCTCTGCTCCTGGGTATTAAATAAGGTAATTAAGTATATAGTTATGATGAGCAAGAGTGCCTCTTCCAAAATTGTGAAATTCATGGCTCCAGGGTCAGGGGTTCTGGTGTTAGGGCAGGGCTCTATTGATTATATAGTGAAAATGCATTAATTCTTTGAAAATCTTCTTCTCTGCTCCTGGGTATTAAATAAAGTAACTAAGTACATAGTTATGATGAGCAAGAGTGCTTCTTTCAAAATTGTGAAATTCATGGCCCCAGGGTCAGGGGTTCTGGTCCCAGGGTGGGGCTATATAGATCATATAGTGAAAGTGCATTATTTCTTTGAAAATCTTCTTCTCTGCTCCTGGGTATTAAATAAGGTAACTAAGTACATAGTTATGATGAGCAAGAGTACCTCTTCCAAAATTGTGAAATTCGTGGCCCCGGGGTCAGGGGTTCTGGTGTAAGGGCGGGGCTCTATTGATTATATAGTGAAAATGCATTAATTCTTTGAAAATCTTCTTCTCTGCCCCTGGGTATTAAGTAAAGTAATTAAGTACATAGTTATGATGAGCAAGAGTGCCTCTTCCAAAATTGTGAAATTCATGGCCCCAGGGTCAGGGGTTCTGGTGTTAGGGTGGGGCTCTATCGACTATATAGTGAAAATGCATTAATTCTTTGAAAATCTTCTTCTCTGCTCCTGGGTATTATTTAAACAAACTAAGTGCATAGTTATGATGCATAAGGATGCCTTTTCAAAAATTGTGAATTTCATGGCCCCAGGGTCAGGGGTTCTGGTGTTAGGGTGGGGCTCTATTGATTATATAGTGAAAATGCATTGATTCTTTGAAAATCTTCTTCTCTGCTACTGGAGATTATTTAAACAAACTAAGTGCATGGTTATGATGCATAAGGATGCCTTTTTTAAAAATTGTGAATTTCATGGCCCCAGGGTCAGGGGTTCCGGTGTTAGGGCGGGGCTCTATTGATTATATAGTGAAAATGCATTGATTCTATGAAAATCTTCTTCTTTGCTACTGGAGATTATTTAAACAAACTAAGTGCATGATTATGATAGGCAAGGATGCCTCTTCCAAAATTTTTAGATACATGGCCTCAGTTTTTGGGGTTCTTGAGGAGGGGGGGGGGGGAGGGGGGCTCTATTGATTATATAGTGAAAATGCATGGATTCTATTAATTAATCATTAACTAATCCTGTCTGTTCCTTAGTGTTGAGCTGATAAATAAATTGCTTAGCTATGATGAAGATGGGAGCTATGAACAGAATTTTTAAATCTTGTGGTCCTAGGGTCAGGGGTTCTGGCATAACGAGGAAGGGGGGGGGGGGCTTTTGATAATATAGTGGAAAAGTGTTAATTCTTTGAAGTCCATAGTTATGATGATGAGGGTAACTCTTCCAAATTTGTAAATTTCTTGACCTTTGGTCTTGGGTTCTGGTGTTAGGGTAAGGCTTTGTTGAATCTGTAGTGAAAATACATTGTACCTGTGAAATTCTTCTCTGCTTCTGGGCATATCGAAAGCAAACTGAGTAAAAGTTTAAATGATATAAGTAAGTGTATTTCTTCCAGATTTTTGAACATCTGGACAATTTGTCTAAGCATTCTGGTCCTCGACGGGGCTCTATTAATTTATATTCTACTGAGAGAAGTTATTCCCCTTTTCCATTCACCTTTGATAATTAATCACTGTAAATAATGTATTTGAAAGATTAATAGAATAAGATAATTATGCAAGAATGTTTATCGTATAATTCAAAAAGTACTTTCTTAGTTTTAATAATCAGGCAGACCTGTAAGTAATAGATAAATAAAAATGAGACAAAAATAACTTATCTTATTAAAAGTTCTTCAAAGACCATAAGAGAGGTCAATGCTAGAGGTCTTAATATGGGTTTAAAAATAGTACAGAAAGCACTAATAGTGTGTTAATAGTCTGCATGGTGATAATATTAAGTGGGGGACAGATTAGAACTTAAGTTATGAGTTGATACCGAATACTAGACTAATTATTTTGTTGATCCTGATCTTCCTACTTCTCTTGCTTTAGGGCAACAAAGCTTCATCTGTCAGTGTATTTAACTTCTAAATTGTTGTATTATACTCAGGTGACCGTTAAGGACCTTGGGCCTCTTGTCTATGAAGTGGATGAGTTTTTTTTTAAAGCTATGGTCTCAACTTAAAGTTTTGAAGCCACGATGGTTAGAGCACGTAAGAGCAAAGATGGCTTCCAGTGAAACTGTGTCCAAATACTTTGAAAATCTTTGCAACACTCTCTCTAAACATGATCTGTATGGAAAGCCTCATCTCATCTTCAGTGTTGAAGAAAAGGGTATTTCTGTTGACCACAAACCACCAGCCGTGGTTGGAGATTCTGCTTACTGTTCCCAGTCTGTAACATTAGGTCGTGGAAAGACTATCACTATTCTCGGTGGAGGCAGTGCAAGTGGTGTCTCTATACCACCTTTTTTCATCTTCCCTGGCAAACAGATGATGCCAGAGCTGTTGAGTGAAGCATCCCCTGGGGCTAGTGACACAGCAAGCGAAACTTGGTGGTCAAACGGTCTAATCTTCCGACACTATCTGGAACACCACTTCCTCACGTTTTTCCACGAGATGAAGGACAGGTCTTACTCCTTTCGGGTGGACAAAAGTCCCATGTGTCAGTGCAACTGGTAGGGTTGGCAAATCAAAGGGTGTAAAATCATCTTTATTCTTCCAGCCCATACAAGACATGTCTTGCAGCCAGTGGATGTTGCTTGCTACGGACAATTTCAAACCATTTACAATAATCAGTGTCACAAGTTAATAAGGGAAACAGCAGCAACAATTACCAGGTATAACATTTGTGAAGTCGCATGCAAGGCATATAAAAAGGCACTGTCTCCTGAAAACATCAAGTCAGGATTTCGTCTCACTAGCATTTACCCCCTTTGCAAAGACGCAGTCCCTTCGAGGTATTTGGTACCAGCAGAAGTGTTCAAGGGCCTGGCCACTGAAATTAGAGATGAAAGCCAAGAGAATGAAATAGGATTTGAGCAAAATGGAAGAAAATGTAGATCAGCAATATTATTATGGTAAAGTTAAAAAAGAAAGAGAACCATATGAAGGTAAAAAAAAAAGAGTGGTGGAGAAATGAAGGAGAGGAAAACAATGAGCAAGATTGTTTCAGGGAGTGGAATCTTAGAAAGCGTGTGTCATCGAATGAAAGATCATGCAAGTAGTCAAGGGAAACAAGAGAAAGACATAGGGAGTAAGAAGCATCAAAGTTTAAAGAAAACTGCACTTCTTGATGACATACCTGGCCCATCAACAATAAATCTGACTGTCTCTGAGGATCTCCAAAACACTTCAGACACTGACAGTGATGTTGAGATGGAGCCATCTAAACTTTGCTGCATTTGCAAGAAGTTCCAGCCAGATGAGCTGAAGAGATGCATTCCCCTTGTATTTGTGAAGTGGGCACAATCTGACAAGTGCAGCCATTGGGTTCACTTGATTTATTGTTCTCCAGCACGTGTTGTGATCAATTCCTTTGTCCACATTGTAATGCAGAGTAACATATAACTACTGTTGCTGTTGTTTATTGAATTTGACAGTGTTAAATTCAGCTCAGTTATATTGATGACATACCTGGCCCATCAACAATAAATCTGACTGTCTCTGAGGATCTCCAAAACACTTCAGACACTGACAGTGGTGTTGAGATGGAGCCATCTAAACTTTGCTGCATTTGCAAGAAGTTCCAGCCAGATGAGCCGAAGAGATGCATTTCCCTTGTATTTGTAAAGTGGGCACAATGTGACAAGTGCAGTCATTGGGTTCACTTGATTTATTGTTCTCCAGCACGTGTTGTGCGAAGGAATGATCAATTCCTTTGTCCACATTGTAATGCAGAGTAATACATAACTACTGTTGCTGTTGTTTATTGAATTTGACAGTGTTAAATTCAGCTCAGTTATATAAGTTTTTAATTGTTAAACTGAAAAAAAAAAATTTATTGTAAAGACTGTAATAATTTGTCCTTAAAAAAATGTTGACACACATTTAACTTTCAGTTGAAAAAAAAAAAAAAAAAAAAAAAAAAAAAAAAAAAAAAACGCATACATTCATTCTCTTGACCTTTATACTTCGTACTTCAATTTTCGCTGACGTCACGACCCTAGGACCTGCTTTTCAAAATGTCGGCAGGTAAACATCAGTAACTTGAATGAAATGAAAACAATCAATAAGGCATGTTTTTTTTTTTTATTTGACAAGTTTACTGCAAGAAAAGAACATGTTTAATTACCGAAATGAAACAGCACTTCAAATTTATTTACAAACAGTCACGATCAAATTAGGGTAACGACTCATAGACATCCGGGGATACATTAAAACCCCGTTACATGTCAAAGGAGGTGAATGAGACTTCACATTTTACGTTCGTAAAAACAAAGATTCCTTTTGTACGTATCAGAAACAATGCATTTTGTTTTATTTAGAGGATTTGTTAAAGTTTCTTTTTAATCGAGTTTTACTGTATTTTTCTACTTTTTTAAAGATAACAAGCGCAATGGAGTGCCTTCACGAAAGTAGATATATTCATAGGGATCTTTGTGCATCAAACATTTTGTCGGCGAACGAAACAAATTAAAAGTGGGTGGACTTCACTTTGCAGAGTATTTACATCAGGATCCGATGATTATGAGTAAATGTGAGTCCATAGTATGCTAACGTAAATTATATTGATTTTTGTTTAAAATCTTACAATACGGATAAGTTTAAAATGAAAGCTATTATATTTTTTTTTATTTAGGTGAGAATGTTCCTTTACAATATCGCTGGTGTGCCCCGGAAATTTTTTTAAATATCGAGTATGGATCACAATCTGATGTGTGGTCTTTTGGGATTGTCCTGTTTGAGATCGTTTCGAAAGGCGAAGTTCCATATAAAGGTAAACCTTATCAAAAATCAAAAAAAAATAATTTTTTTTTTAATTATTTTTTGACAAAAAAATATAGAAATACCATTGCAATTTTAGTCATAGAATGTGTTTTCTGCAGAACGCCCAAAGAAAATGTGAAATTAGTTTTTCTTAATCTCTTTCAAGAGTGTAGATAAAATTCATCTTAAACAACTTGAGCGATATTGAAGAAGAATTATATACAATATATATGGACTCTTTCGGTGTTGAATATGGTTTGTTGTTCACCAGAAAAATATCAATATTGACCGAGGCGAATTATAACTTATAACCTCCGTGTTTTCCTTTTGCTGTGTGTAAGACATCGAATTGTTTGGAAAATAATCCTACGAGAAATTTGCTTAAAAGTTTTCCTACTCAGATATACTGCATATACAGCTGGCTCCGGTCGTTGCAACCATTGTTTTCAACGTTGTTTAGGTATTGATTGTGACGTCACAATGCCGCTGCACGCGCACTGACCCTCCGGTGAATACGGCTTCAAATCCAGTGAATATGTAGTATTATGAACTGTTTGCGTTTGTATAGATGGGAAATATGCCTGAAGTCTTAGCGCTGGACATGTACATAAAAACCAAGAGGTCATATCATATATCACAAATGCACGAAAAACATCGGAAAAGATTGCAAGATTTACAATATTTACCTGTAAAGTAAACTCCTGTATATGAAATAAATATAAACTCTCACAATAAAATAATTTGTTCATACATACACACGACAAGTTTATTAACGTCGCTTAAAGATAACACTGCTACCTTTTCTTGATACTTCTTGATACCGAATTGTACACTTAAGGTAGTACACAATAGATAGGCCAAAACTCTCTCTTTATATGTAATGTGGAAGAAATTTAACCGCACAATTTTTGCCCACATTGTTTTAAATATGGCCTATCAGACCCTTGTAAGAAGATTGTAAAATCAGACTTCGACTTAAGAATGTGCCTTATTTTAAAACTACCAATTGATCAAATGCAAATTTGTGTGATGTCGTTTATAAAGGCAGCCTTTTTGTTATTAAGATTCAGAAAAATGTGTTGAACCGGTAAATTTTAGGATAGAATGTGGTCTAAAATGGAACATACATAATTCTTGAACTGAGAATTCACATATAAATATGCTACACTTTAAGTTCCCTTCATAGAAAATGTATACTTCAATCTTTACAAAAAATCATCAGAAAGATTGAAATGGGTTCCAAAATAAAATGTGTCAAAATACTGAAAATTGAATCAGTTGTTTCAGATATTTTGGCAATTAAATAAATCAATGTCAAAAAACTGTAAGATTTGGCAGATGACGTCACAATATTGACCTTTGTCCTCCTAATGTGACCTTGACCTTTATTGTACATGAAAAACGGGGCATCTTCGCAGCTAGGTTAAGGACTCCCATATATACGTCAGCCTATGCTGAGGTTCGGTAAAACTATTATGACGTCACGTTAAAACAATACAAATGAATCTCGATGAATAAATACTATATGTTCTTTTTAAAATACACTAAATACTTTCGTTTATCATAAATATTATAAAGATAAATGGATGTGCAACTTATCTTGCCATAATATCACTAAGCGTGTGTGGAATGAAAGCCAGCTTGATCTCGCTGTACTTACTGAGATGACGTCATTTCTTAGTTTGACACGCAGTTTCTCTGTAATTGAGGCGTGGATCAAGCTTTTATCGTGGCTTGTAAAAATAAAAATAAATACGAAACACGCATAGTTGGACCAAAAGAGCGACAAATTCTGAAATATATTAATCCACATTTTATTGTCAAACTAAATTGATAATGTGTAGACTTTATATAAAGCCGTAGGGAGCTCATTTGTACAGTAACGTGCTAGAATGATAGGTTCAGCCCCTCGAAAATATCAAAAGTTCAACGATATCCGCTTCCATAAAAATTCTGAATTTTTAAACACGTGTAGCTATTATTCCAACTATTCTGAAAAGTGCTGGGAGCTGGTTGTGCATTGTTGATTTATTCCGTAATGTAACATTATTCCAATGCGAATTACATTTTTGACTGGAGTTTCTAGAAAGACGGCTAAATTTTAAACAATTCCCGAGCATGAGGAAGTTGCTCCCAGCACTTTTCGAGTTAAGGAATTTGTCTCAAAGAAAACAGAATAAATTTTATAGTGGAAAAATGCCCGTATATCGTTGAACTTTTACGATCTTTGTAGTAGTACATATATGTTCTAATTTTAAAACTGTCACGTGACAAACAGCTGATGTAAGCGATGTCGCTTTGGCCGAACTCAGCAGAGACCCGATATATACAAGCTCAAACACCACAAATCATATTTATCAAAACTAATGCTGTTAAAAAAAATATTAAAATTGTATTCCTTTTCCCTGTATATATAAAGGCGTATATTTCATGGGCGTCCTTAACCTAGCTGCGTTATATACATCTCCATAAATCAGCCCTCTTCTCTTTATGGATCAAAAGTTACTCCACATTAAATATCAGACTATTATATCACATTTGGACAGCATAAACACATTCGAAAATGTGGGCTACCAAGTGACCAATATGTAGGATGTCTCTAATTTTTAAACAAAATATGGTGAAAACATGTCACGGCTTATTAATTTTCATACAAAGATCATTGATTATTTTGACAATATAGTAACATTATACTTTTTCTCACGTACTTTTTAAGAAATGAGTTAAAATAGATTTCATGGGTGTTTTGAACTACCTTAAGTTTTCATCCAAAAGATTATTTTCTATATTTCTGGTAAACTCTTTTCTTGTACAGTTTTCAAAGCCTATAATTTTATAATTAACTATGGTATAAAAAATCGGGAAAAAGAAGCCACAGAATAAGTGGTTTATCTTTTGATAAATGATAAAATTAAGACATACGATATAAAGTCCTACATGTACCAGATTTTCCAAAAAGACAGAATCTGTTTACATTTTTTTCTTTTTTGGTTGAAATTTCCTTAACAACATTGCTAACTTTACAATTAATGTGATTTCTAATGTGAGAAATGTTTCTGTTATTATCCTCAATTTGACTTGTTCTAATTAATACAATCTATTAGTATCATATGCATGCAGTTCCCGTGTGTTTACCAGGCACCAGGCAAAACCTATTTGAAACTTTAGCACTGTGATTAAACAGCTTTGTGTTAGAAAGACCCATGTTTTAATTCAGTTTTTGACATGCCATTTTTTTTCAGGGAAATTTAAATATTTTTTCTTTTCAAAATATTTCAAAATTTTAGATATTGACACAATTAAGCAATGAAACTGAAAAATGTTTCATTTAGATTTTTCATTACTTTGAACGTTTTTTTTTTTTTTTAATCAATTTTTATACTAAGCGGTTACTCGTGCAAAGTATAGAGACCCGAAGTACTACAAAGTAAATTATCATTCAGATGAGAACTTTACTTGTTGCAGAATGTGATAGATCTTCTCTTTACGCCATTGCTTAGAAGCAATATATCTATTTTCAAAATTAACTCTAGATTAGTTTACAAAAACAAATTAGACTGAGAAAGTTTGCTCAAATAGTAATGTAGTAATGTTTCTATAGTTTGAGTTGTTTTTTTTTTCCAGATTTTGATGAGACAGAAATTAAAGAAAAGTAGGAAAAGGATACCGCATTCCTCGACCAGAAAACTGTACCGACTTTCATCACGAAATGATGGGACTCTGCTTGAACATGGATCACACTAGAAGACCAACTTTTAAGGCTTTGAAAAAAATATTCACAAATCAAGGATTCAGTAGATCATTTAAAAGGAAAGAAATACAGAAACTTCTTAAATCTGATGGGTTCAGTGACTTTTTGTCATAATTTTCAAATAATCAATAGGAGTAGAGTCTTCGAAACAGGTGGAACAGTTAACGTTATCTGTTGTAAGAATTATTCTTGTTGATAATAACGAAATTGTATCAAGTTTAATGTATCTTCTGTCTTTTACAGCAAAGAACAGGACACTTGATGAAAACTAGTCTGTCGTTTGTTTATGTGGTTTTCTTGACTGTTCTTTTATCACATCAGATTTCAGGATCAGTGAGAGTAAGGATGAAATAATTAAAATGTACTAGTATCTTTTAAAACGGTAATGTTAAATATACGTGTTTTCGTTGATTTTGACCATGTCCGTTTACGTACTTTGTAAATGAAATAACTTTCCATTGAGAAAGAACGATAAATATTTGCTATTCAGTGTGTCTTTAGTATGTCGCAGTACCATTTATAAAGTTTTCTTATTATGTCAAATTCTCCTTCCTATTCAGTAATATTTTCATGAACTCCTCTTTTGTCAACAAAGGTGGGAGGGGGGGGGGGGGGGGTATCTGTAGAGAATGCGTTCACCTCGGTAAACACTGGAATTTGTTAAGCAAGCCTGTCGTAAGTCTTCCTATCTCAATTTAAAAGAGTCACCTCTCATATGCAGACAGTTTATCTTTGAAATATAAATATAACGAACATTAATCAGTCTCAAAAGTCCATTGAATCAATACAAATTTGGAGCAGAGCAAACTCCTATGAAACAGAATACATTTCTTCCATTGATGCTGCAATTTTCTAGTTTTCTAGGAGATATATTACAATGTTTTATTCTTTATTTTTTAATCCTTGACATACACCTCTAATGGTCAACTACTTAATTTAATTTTACGGGAACTGATATAAACGTTCCTCACTCCATTTTTTTTTAAAAAAAAAAACGTATTCATTTCTTTGGTCTTTTCGACTTTTTTTCGCAAATTAAGATTTCGAATTATTCCAGATAAAATTGTGATGTAAAATTGTATTTTTAGCATTTGTACACTGCATTTTGTAAAAGGGTGCATAGTTTAAAGCCATAAACATGCACCACCTATTTTACCATAACCCGATGTATAAAAAAAACTGTTTTGCTCACTAAATATCCATTGTGTCATTGACGTATTGTTTGTTGTTTTTCGTCCCTAACGAGAATATTTAAGTAATATGAGACATCAACCAAATACATGTAAATGCTTCAAATTTAAACCTATACTCGGCACTTACGGCTATTGAACAGTGGGGGTTCTTTATCTTGCCGACGCCTACCGTTATAAGGGACCTATCTGGGCACTTCCCCGGGCTTTTGGCCAGCCGGATTACGAAGCTCGGCCATCCCCCGTCTCCAACTTATGTGATGTTCTCCTTTCGGTAGACACCTCGCATTCCCCAGCAGATGATACTGTTCCTCTGCCACGACCTCGACGTCTTATTATAATCCACGAAGGTTTTGAGTAACGTCACACATAATACAAAATCAAACGCAAAATTACTGATGCAAAAACACTATAAATAACGAGCAAGTCAGATTATCCTACATTATAATGATTTTTTTGATATCATACTTTCGTATGGAAAGAAATCGAACTATTTGCAGTGGTATCAAATAAATCGAAGTTCAGATTTTAAATGGCAGTTTTTTTGTTCTCTGTTTTTTGGTGATTCTTGTGTTTTTTAGTTGCTCGTATTTCCCTTCATACAGTGTACGAAACTCCGAAAAAATTCAGGTGGACCAGCAGGGCTGACTACTTAAAAAGTCCGTCAGCCCTGCTGAAAATAAGCAAGTCCGCATAATAATATTCAATATTAAAGGTACGCACACTCAGACTTGTATTTATTTTTTCACTTACGCTGGAATTTAATACACAGTAATACTAAGATTCAAATTTTGTTCATTGTTCCTTTTCATCATGAAGTTGGGAAAAAATCATTTGGTCATTAAATACATTTTTAATACCTAATCGGAAATACATGTCCTTTGTTGTCCTTTTATTTTCTAATTCACATTTATAATACATTGATAGATATCATAGATACATGTATGGTCATGATTTTTGGATGCTGTATGTGATTTACATTTTCAGGTTGAGTAACCAGGTTATAGTTTTTGTAGCAGGCTCATTCTAAAGTAAATATAATATTAACGTTTATAGGTACGGTCACATGTATATTTAAGATGTAAGGGATATGCTTGATTTTAATTGAAAAGAAAAAAGTACAATTTTAAATTTCAGTACTTATGAGCAATTTTTAACACTTAACATATAAATTACATGTATTATGCTGATTTTGTGTGTGTGTGTGTGTGTGTGTGTGTGTGTGTGTGTGTTGGTTTCACCTATCTCCCGAGGACTATGGTGTGAAAAAACACCTTTACTCCGAGGACGTAAATTTCTTCCGAGGACTTTTTCCACGTCCTCGGAAAAAAATTGCTTGTACCGTCACAAAATATCGAACTACATCACGTGGTGAAATTTGGTGAAAGTCCTCAGAAGAATAGTAAGATGTGAAATTGTGTTACACCATCACACACTTTTATCGTCTGCCATAACACACATTTGATATTTTAGACGCGCGCTAATGCGCGCGCATCCAAACAGGATATTTCCGATGCGCACTGATGCATGCGCATAGGAATGGCGGAAATGATGAAGGGTCTTGACTTTTACGTCTCAATATGTAAGTATTCACAGTATATTTACTAAACGTTGTTTTCATTAATGAAAAATAAATAATCTTAGATAAAAAAAGACATTTAACAAAGAATTTTAATGCTAGTATCTGTACTTACATGTAGATGTAAACAGATAGGACATATACAAACATTAATAGGAAAAGACATAAACAGATAAATGATAGATCTCATTTGACTACTTAAAATCGTGTAATTGAGGAAAACTGTCAATGAAGAAGGGGAAATGATAAGTACGAAAAACATATGTTTATACCATGTTCATTTCTATGAGCCTTTCAGGTTTTTAGGTGACATTAACTTGTTGACAAAACGCTTGCTTATAATTAACCCCCCCCCCCCCAAGGTTTTTTTTGATGACAAAACACTTGTACAAGCAATGATACGTGGCACTGGTTAAATTAATTCACACGAATTAAGGTAGGATTATTAAAAATGGCAGTTTGTAAATTTAGAATTTACAGAGGGAAGAGCCAAAATTACTGAAAATGGAAACTAAAATTTCGATCATTTATCTTCACATGACAATCTTAGATTCCTCACTTTTTCATTGTAGGGACTTTTTATTTGGAATCGAAAACAATGTATAGTTCCTTTGACATAGTTTTCAGAAATGGAGCAGTAGATTAACTTGTTAAAAAAGTAGCATGCATGCAAATCTTTAATTTATGGAAAAGCAAAATTTAAAAAAAAAATATTCTATTCTTTCGGAAAATCATGGTTAGGTTTTATGGGTCTGAAAAGCAGTGGTGATCAAGAAAACAAGACCAACCGTACTCAGTATTTATAACTTAACAAACTTTCAGAAACATATAAATGGAATATTAAGGTAATGGATTTTGTTTATATTTGTTGTTGTAAAACTCGAGATTAGTATAAATACTTTTGCACACTTCAATTCATTTAATGTTCCTTACCTTTCATCTTCAAAACACAAAACTGATCTCCATGTTTTTTCACTCATATTAAAAGGCCACCACTTGCTGGTGGAGGGCTGCAAATTTAAAACTGTACTCAGTACTTATGGCTTTTGAGCACTGAGGGATCTTTTTCATGCCAGCACTTACTGCGACACAGGACCTCAGTTTATAAGGTCTCCTCCAAAGACCGGTCTCCATGTTCTGCTATTTGAATCCACAATGTAAGGATCATCTTACTCCTTGACTCTAAAGCAAATGCTCTAACCATTGCACCATGCAGGTGACTTTGATCTCCATGCCTCAGAGGAAATGACTTGATAGCCTCTTATAGGAGTAATTGTCACTGGCTGTATGCACTACCTATGTAGTCACATAAACCAAATACTGCTGCTCTTTGAGACATAGTTTATAAGTCTTCTATAATGCACTTAAAATAAGTCAAGATCCCAATTTCAAACATCCCATTCATTCAAAGAGTTAAAAATAATCAATACCTCAGGAAGTTTCGACAATTCTTAGATTTGAAAAATATTGCTCAAATTGAATTAGATTTCATATTTTATTCTGTTTATGTCAAACATGATATTCTCTTTATTAACAATTGATTTCTCTCCTTGGTAAAATGATTTTTTACTGTTTATTTAACGTCCCTTCGAGAATTTTTTACTCATGTTAAGAAGCCACCACTTCCCTGTGGAGGGCTGCAAAATTAGACCTGAACTCAGCACTTATGGCCATTTATATTAGCAGTAAGGGATATTTTGTGCAAACACCTACTGCAACAAAGAACCTGCTTTATACGGTTTCATCCAAAGGACCGGTTTTCAGGTCCCACAATGGGATTAAAACCCATGAAGTAAGGATCAACTCCTTACTTTGCAACTCTGGAGCAAAAGCTCTATACTCTATGCCACGTGGCGACTGGTAAATTGATAAACATGCACTAAATATGTTGACTCTACCACAGGTCTCTATGTGACCTCTAAAATTTAGGCACCAACTGGCTCCTTATGAAAAAAAAAATTTAGTCACAAATGCAAATTTTCAGCCGCCAGGTAAATTTTTCTTAGGCACAAATCTAAAAACTGATATTAGTCAATATTAGAGACTTGTCTATTGCTTCTTTTCGGCTCTTTATAAAAAAAAATTGAAAATGTTTATAGTTCAGTAATTTGATGATCACCAAGCCAATTTAAAATGGTCGCCAATTTGGCGAATTCTAGAAAATTTTTAGGCATCAATCATAATTTTTAGGTGCTATGGCGACTTAATTAGTCGCCAATTAGACCTATACCATATATCACATACCCTGTAATTGTTTTCACTATCTGCACATTTTTGATTTTTTTGCCTTTACAAATCAACTTGGTTATAAAGATACATGACTGTATAATTTTTGTAAAACAGCTGGATTTTTA